AACACAGAGACACACACAGAGAGAGACACACACAGAGAGAGACACAGAACATAGACACACAGACAGACACATAAGCAGAGAGAGAGAGACTCACACAGAGACACAGAGAGAGAGAGAGACACACAACATAGACACACAGACAGACACACAAGCAGATAAAGATAGCACAGAGACACAGAGAGAGAGACACACAACATAGACACACAGACAGACACACACAGAGAGACAACACAGAGAGACAACACAGAGACACACAGAGAGAGACAACACAGAGACACACAGAGAGAGACAACACAGAGAGACAACACAGAGACGCACAGAGAGAGACAACACAGAGACACACAGAGAGAGACAACACAGAGACACAGAGAGAGACAACACAGAGACACACACACAGAGAGAGACAACACAACATAGACACACAGACAGACACACAAGCATAGAAAGACAACACAGAGACACAGAGAGAGAGAGAGACACACAAGCAAAGAGAGACAGCACAGAGACACACACATAGAGAGACAACACAGAGACATACATAGAGAGACAACACAGAGACACACAGAGAGAAAGACACAGAACATAGACACACAGACACACAAGCAGATAGACAACACAGAGACGCACAGAGAGAGACACACAACATAGACACAGACAGACACACAAGCAGAGAGTGACAACACAGAGACACACACACAGATAGACACAGAAAGAGAGACACAGAACATAGACACACAGACAGAGACATAAGCAGAGAGAGAGACTCACACAGAGACACAGAGAGAGACACAACATAGACACACAGACAGACACACAAGCAGATACAGATAGCACAGAGACACAGAGAGAGACACACAACATAGACACACAGACAGACACACAAGTAGAGAGAGACAGCACAGAGACACACAGAGAGAGAGGCAACACAGAGAGACAACACAGAGACACACAGAGAGATACAACACAGAGACACACAGAGAGAAAGACACACAACATAGACACACAGACACACAAGCAGAGAGAGACAACACAGAGACACACAGAGAGAGACACACAACATAGACACACAGACAGACACACAAGCAGAGAGAGACACACAGAGAGATAGACACACAACATAGACACACAACATAGACACACAAGCAGAGAGAGACAGCACAGAGACACAGAGAGAGAGACAACACAGAGACACAGAGAGAGAGACACACACAACATAGATACACAGACAGACACACAAGCAGAGAGACACAACACAGAGACACACAGAGAGAGAGAGACACACAAGCAGAGAGAGACAGCACAGAGACACACACATAGAGAGACAACACAGAGAAACAACACAGAGACACACAGAGAGAGACAACACAGAGACACACATAGAGAGACAACACAGAGACACACAGAGAGAAAGACACACAACATAGACACACAGACAGACACACAAGCAGAGAGAGACACACAACATAGACATACAGACAGACACACAAGCAGAGAGAGACTACACAAAGAGACACAACATAGACACACAGACAGACACACAAGCAGAGAGAAACACACAGAGAGAGACACACACAACATAGACACACAGACAGACACACAGAGAGAGAGACACACAACATAGACACACAGACAGACACAAGCAGAGAGAGACAGCACAGAGACACACAGAGAGAGACAACACAGAGACACACACACAGAGAGACAACACAGAGATACACAGAGATAGACAACACAGAGACACACACATAGATATACAACACAGCGACACATCAAGAGAGACAACACAGCGACACACAGAGAGAGACAAACCAAAGAGTAATTCCTGCAGTCACGAAAGCTTCAAATCGAGAGAGAAACCATCTTTGTTTTTTACTCCGATCTTGTGGCGAGAACGATCGAGGTTGGGTTTGTGTTGATGTTGTTGATAACAACCCCAATCGGCATTGGTGGTAGGGGTGTGGGCAAGGGAGATGATGGGGTGGTGGAGGGAGGGAGAGTGGAGCGATGTCAGATCGCGTGGGAGGCCATATCCATCTCGGCGAGGTGGAGCTGATGTGAAGGGAAAGTGTTTCAGCTCCGAGTCACCACCGTGTTCTGCCCGTGGTAACAGCGGCACGCGGCTCATTTGACTCACCGCTCCGCCTCGAGATACCGCGGCTGCGAGTTGGAGGTGCAACTCGGTGGAGGGGGGGGGGTGATCGCGACCCCCAGGGATACATTCAGGGGAAGGGGCCTTGCATGACATTTTTTGTATATGTCCACTATTGGTAGCGGGCTTTTGTTTCACGTTCTTGTGTGTGTGTGTGCGGGGACCATCAGTGTGTGTGTGTGTGGCCATCAGTGTGTGTGTGTGTGGGAACCATCAGTGTGTGTGTGTGAACCATCAGTGTGTGTGTGTGGCCATCAGTGTGTGTGAACCATCAGTGTGTGTGTGTGGCCATCAGTGTGTGTGTGTGAACCATCAGTGTGTGTGTGCGGGGACCATCAGTGTGTGTGTGTGTGAACCATCAGTGTGTGTGTGTGAACCATCAGTGTGTGCGTGAACCATCAGTGTGTGTGTGTGAACCATCAGTGTGTGTGTGTGTGTGCGGGGACCACCAGTGTGTGTGTGTGGGGCCATCAGTGTGTGTGTGTGGGAACCATCACTGTGTGAGTGTGAACCATCAGTGTGTGTGTGTGGGGACCATCAGTGTGTGTGTGTGTGAGTGTGAACCATCAGTGTGTGTGTGTGTGAACCATCAGTGTGTGTGTGTGGGGACCATCAGTGTGTGTGTGTGAACCATCAGTGTGTGTGTGTGTGGGAACCATCAGTGTGTGTGTGTGTGTGGGAACCATCAGTGTGTGTGTGTGGGAACCATCAGTGTGTGTGTGTGTGGGAACCATCAGTGTGTGTGTGTGAACCATCAATGTGTGTGTGTGTGAACCATCAGTGTGTGTGTGGGAACCATCAGTGTGTGTGTGTGTGAACCATCAGTGTGTGTGTGTGTGAACCATCAGTGTGTGTGTGGGAACCATCAGTGTGTGTGTGTGTGAACCATCAATGTGTGTGTGTGAACCATCAGTGTGTGTGTGTGTGAACCATCAGTGTGTGTGTGGGAACCATCAGTGTGTGTGTGTGAACCATCAGTGTGTGTGTGTGAACCATCAGTGTGTGTGTGTGTGTGAACCATCGGTGTGTGTGTGTGTGAACCATCAGTGTGTGTGTGTGTGAACCATCAGTGTGTGTGTGTGTGAACCATCAGTGTGTGTGTGTGAACCATCAGTGTGTGTGTGTGTGTGAACCATCAGTGTGTGTGTGTGTGAACCATCAGTGTGTGTGTGTGTGTGAACCACCAGTGTGTGTGTGTGTGTGAACCATCAGTGTGTGTGTGTGAACCATCAGTGTGTGTGTGTGTGTGAACCATCAGTGTGTGTGTGTGTGGGGACCATCAGTGTGTGTGTGGGGACCATCAATGTGTGTGTGTGTGTGGGGACCATCAGTGTGTGTGTGTGTGTGGGGACCATCAGTGTGTGTGTGTGGGGACCATCAGTGTGTGTGTGTGAACCATCAGTGTGTGTGTGTGTGAACCATCAGTGTGTGTGTGTGTGAACCATCAGTGTGTGTGTGGGGACCATCAGTGTGTGTGTGTGAACCATCAGTGTGTGTGTGAACCATCAATGTGTGTGTGAACCATCAGTGTGTGTGTGTGAACCATCAGTGTGTGTGTGTGTGCGGGGACCATCAGTGTGTGTGTGTGGGGCCATCAGTGTGTGTGTGTGAACCATCAGTGTGTGTGTGTGTGTGAACCATCAGTGTGTGTGTGTGAACCATCAGTGTGTGTGTGGGAACCATCATGTCACGATCCGTGCCCGCAGGCCCGTGAGTCACTCAGCGGAAGGGGGGCCCCGTTTGTTTATTTATTTATACTCGCGACCGTCCGTCCCTCCATGTGGACGCGACGTCCAGCCAGCCACCCAGCCAGCAAAACGTTCCTTTATAACATACAGCCGTGATAGTCCGTCTGGCGTAACCCCCTTTGGGGGGCCATGCCCACAGGGCGGGGGGGGGGGTGGGGGGGGGGGGGTTAATAAATAAATAAATAGCCCCAATCCGCCAAGACGCGAATCGCGGCTCTAAAAAACAGTCTAGGAATCGACTCTGAGCATCATAACAAGGCACTGGAATGTTATATCTTTGAGAATAAATATTTATCTGTGTGTGTGACACCTGTACAATTATACACGCATGACTACACCACACGTATTCCCTGCCCCCTCCGCCCCAGTAAAACCCGCCACGTCATTTACGTCGCTGTAGTAACAGCACGTGCGGCTAACGCTTGCTCAACGTGTGTATATATATTACTATATATCTCGAAGTGTCGTTAATTCCTTAGATAGTAATCCTACTCGTATACAATATATTATATTCATTATGCAAACGAACTCGAAAGGGGTGTTAACATCAGCTCGCGTTGAACAGCAGCGTGACCAGTACGTCTGCGTGCGGTTCTAAACAGGTGACATCACCACCACCATCATCACCACCATCATCATCATCACCGTCATCATCATCGTCATTATCACTGATGGACCTGACTGCCCGAGACCACGCGGCACCCGTCGGTGTAGTTGAGCAGCCGGATTCTCGGCCGTACAAAAAATCAAAAATAAACCCATCGCCGAAGTCCCCGCCGCTTTCGTGGCCAACGATTTCACCTCCGTTCGTGGTGAAGGCGACGACAGCGGCACATCTTTCTTTTTTCCACTCAAAACCGGACGAAAATGCCACTTTCGCCAACAACGCGGAGGCCACGGTTCTCGTGAAAGGGCGGCGTATAAATGGGGTAGGAAGGGAGGAGGCCGGCGGGGGACGCGGAACGTCGGCACCCTGCCTCTCTCCACGCCCCAGCAGGCCGTTGTGGCGGTGAGAATGAGGCCGGGCGGCCGACGTGAGAATGGCATGGGGTCTCCAGTCGGGCTGGACTGGGACCTGCCCCCCCCCCCCCACCTCGCCCCCCCCCTCCCCGAGGGACCCCCAAAGCCCCATCTAAAAAAAAAGCGCAGGGTGGTCGCAGGGAGAGTGAGCGAGCGAGCGAGCGTGGGCGACTTCTTTCTATAAGCGCACGGTGTCGCGATACGAAGACCAGCAGCCTCTCCATCACCATCGTAATTGGACGGAGAGTCGCATGTGAGGCGCAGCCGGAAGCAAACCCATCCATCCAGCCCTCTTCAAAAGGACAGGGCGTGGAGCCTAGCGACGAGGCCCGGGACGCTTCGCTCTGAAAGGTCACGGTGTCTCTGGTGGGGGCACTACCGAAGAACCCAACCCTTGCAACCCATCATGTAAAAGGGCGGAGTGTCTCTCGTGGATCCAGTGCCGGCCGTATCGCGGTTGGTATGGGCCCTGGAGTGCAATGAATGGAAATTGGACCATACCCTGAAATAATCTTCGTAGCCCGGCGACTGCGCTCCTGTGGCGCAGCTGCACCGCCTGCGCACTCAGCAACAGCTACGCCACCCTGGGTGTGTCACACCCTCACCTCACCCTCCTTAAACGAGCAGGGTTGTTGCGAGTGGAGCGCCGGTGTAGAGACCCACTCCTGTACAAGGGCAGGGGTGTTTGTTTGTTTGTTTTTGACGACCGGGCCAAAAAAACAAATCACGGCGTCGTCTAAAAGGGCAGCGTGTCGCGGAAGAGTCTCTCGACGACGGGCGGCGCGGGCACGAGCTCCTCGAGCTTGAGGTAGAAGAGCCTCTGCAGGCCCTGCGTGCAGAGCGCGCGCAGCTCCGCGGGAGCCCCCGCGAGGCGCGCGTGCACGGGGCTCCCCGCGCCCACGTGCTCGCGCGCGCTCTGCTGCACGCGCCGCCGCAGCTCCGCCACGCGCTTCGGCTCCCGCAGCTCGCGCCGGTCTGGGGGTGGGGAGGGGGGTAAAGGCGGGGCATAGGGAGATGAGGGGGGAGGTGTTGGTGATGGAGGAGCGAGGGATGAAGGGGCCGTGGGGGGGAGCGAGACGGTGGGGGGGGGGGGCGTCGTGGTGGGTGGCGGGAGGGATTGGGAGAGGGAGGGAGAGGCGGGGTATGCAGAGGAGAAGGGTCGCGGTTCACAGGGAGGATGAGAGAGAAGAGTTACATTGGGGGGAGAGGTTGGGGGGGGGGTGGAGCGTGGGGGCAGGGCCACCGAGGAAGAAGGGAAGGGTTGAGCAGGGAGATCGAGCGGTCCTCGAGCCATAGGTAGAAGACAGACAGTGGCATGGAAGGTGAAGATGGAGGGGTCGGTTCGTGGGATCGGGCAAATAAAGCTATGGCGTAGAGAGCTTGCTGGAGACTTCAATGGACATTGAACCCTTTACATGTTCGGGTTACAATCGACCAGAACGTCACTTCTAAGTGTTGGCGTCGCAGGACGTTAATTGGTGTTACCGCAGTCTGGTGCTCTGTTACGACGGGGAGTTAATGACGCGGTGAGTTTCCCAGGTGTAGCGTCTAGGCTGGAGCAGTCACGTGATTAGTAGCCATAGTGAGATGAACACGGGATGTGGTGTGCCGGGTGTGGGACATATTTTCCGGGTCGCCGACCCAGACCTATCCGGATGAAATGAAGCTGCGATCTTTGGTTTACTAGGCTCTGGCTCAATCGCACACGTGAATGTGAAGCTGGACATTACATTCATTATCACATCATCATCATCTTCCCCCGTACCCGACAACCCGGGCCGAAGCGACCGCACGGCCACCGCTCACCCGTGAGCAGCACCGTCATCTCGAGGCAGGCGAAGGCCGTGGCGTCGATCTGCAGGGACTGCAGGGACGAGGAGAACTCCAGGATGGGCTCCATCCACTCCCCGAAGGCGCGCAGGCACTGGGAAGGGTGCAGCACCTGCCCCGCGCAGAACACCATGCGGCCCTCTCGGGGTCGCGACCTGCACCAAAGACAAAGATCCCCCGTGTAGTCTTAACAGACTGTAGGGGCAAGTGCTGTTAGCGAGCACCTTTAAAGGCCGGCACGGCACAGGAGGGGGTGGGTGGCCAACACCACGCCCGGCCGCCTTTGTCTCCCTAGCGGCGATGTTTACACACCGCACCAGGTACTCATTTGAGGCTGAGTCGACCTAGGGGAGGCCCGGGACCGGTTCAGATAATCGTCACTGGTGTTGGCCGTGAGCGGGAATCGAACCCGGGTTGCCGGGTTCATAGCGCAGCGCTCTAACCGCTACTCTACCGCTCACCACCACCACACACCACAACGCGGCACCACGGTCATCACAACCCATCTCCTTCAACTACACGGGTGGGATTGTCCGCTAGTGCACAGATGTCCCGCTCCTGCCAAGTGGCCCCGTGAGCTTCTGTGAAGCCCCAAGACGATGAAACGCGTTGCCTCTGACAATGAGACAATGAGAATCTGTAGAGCTACTTAAATCTGCCCTGAAAAATCACCTCTTCAAAATGGCATTTTTCGCATATTTTGGTCGGTTACGCTGCTGGCCCTGTATTATTTCACTGCTGTCCATGCACGGCACATTGGGATCCTTGAACGAAATGCACCTTAAACAATGTACATTTTTTATTTATTAGGATGTATTATTATTATTTATTGACAGCGTTGTTGGTCAGAACGTACTTCATTATTCCCTCTTCTGGGTCAGAGCGCGCAGCTCACCAACTTGGAAAAATGTCACCAGCTTCAAATTCTCATCGACGGGGACCATTATGGGGGGGGGGGTCGACTCAACCCATCATTCTTCCGGGGTCCATGAAGAGGTCAGCAGTGGTTGTCCTGGATGGACTCGCCTCCGCCATGGGAATGTGAATTCCCCCCCCCCCCCCAAAAAACAATTGTCTCAGGGCCCTAAACAGGCATAGAACGTCTCCCGCATGCTCGCTTGAGTGGGGATCCATCCGGAGTCGTGCCACGTGAGGAGGGGGAAACAGAAGCCCCTGAGCGCGGCCTGCGCCTCCAGTCACGGATCGCACGTGGCCGCCTCGCACCGGGGACACGCGCGGACCCCAGCGCTGTGGAGGTGCGGTTGGTGGACCAGGCTGTGAGCCGACACAAGCGTGGGACGGAGAACGCAGTGGGGAGATGTTTACTCCCTCGCCTGGTATACGGGAAGTCGTGGGTTCGATCCCGACCCTGACGACTCTATATTTGGAGTTTGCGGTGTCTCTCTCCCCCCGTGGTCGCGTGGATTTTTTTGTCTGGGTCCTCCGGTTTTTCCTCTCCACATTTGGATTCAACGTCACGCCTTTAGAGTACTCGGCTACTTTATTTTTCCACGTAATAAGCCACTTCGTTGAGCTATCATTTGTGATAGCCAGCTCGCTTCTGAAAACAGAGCTATGAAACTCAGCGGGCCTTACCTGATAAAATAAAACAAAGTTTAATTTCACTAGGTGTTTTCCTGCCGATAACAATTGCCTCGTGAGCGATATCTTGTCGAGTTTCGGAGCTTTCTCGGCGTGCCCCCTCTTGTCACGCCTCCTCTAAAACGTGGGCATCCAATAAGGACTTGCCCCCAAACGTCCCCGAGCAATGCAGACCATCCTGAGGGACGCGGGGGGGGGGGGGGGGTGGTCTTCGAGACGCGGCGGTCGATGCTCACGCGGCCGAAGGAACGCAAGCAAGCACGATGAGCACGTGGCCTCGCCGCCGACTCCGCTGCGTGGCTGCCGCACCACGGCGCGGGACTGTGGAGTCACGTGCTCGGCCGGCGGGGGGCGACGTCATCCGACGTCATCCGACGTCTCGTCGCGCGCGCCCACGAGGCCATCTCGCGACGCCGCGGGTCGCACCCCCACCCGCCCCCCCCCCCCAATTCAAGGCTTAGCGACTCGTCGGATCATCGGTCGAAGTAGTACAGGGTGCTTCCATTTTCTGTAACACTTATATGGGACGATCGATTTTAATAGAACAGGAGCGGATAATACCCCGTCACGTGATAACAAATGTACGTTCGCAGTTTCAAAAAAGTCAAAGAGTCTCACACTTCTTCGCCATCATTGTCAACATCTTCCCCAGGTGGACTCCGGAGCCCGGTGGCGCATTTCCTGTCGTATTGTTGCAAATTCTCCGAAGTGTTACACCAATATTTTGAAGCACCCTTCATTCTTCGAATCGTGGGTGCAAGAGCGAGCCGCGGTGTTTACGAGATAACAAAACGCAACGATTTGAAGCGTTAGGTTCGTTGCGAGTGTTTAAGCTTCGGATTAGCGAAACGAACTCGGCAGCATAATCCGGAGGGCAAACTCGGCAGAGGCGACAGAGCAGGAGCGGACGAAGGCGCGTCCACTCCACCGCCACACACACAGGGAGAGGAGGAGGAGGAGGGGGGGGGGGGTCACGCAGGTCATTCTGCCCCACTAGGGGACCTTGCCGGCCTCATACCATCTCGGTGAAGAAGCGAGGAAAACTCCAAACGAGTCCAAAAAATAATAATAATAATCAATCCTCGTTTCTAATCGTGACCTAAACCATAATCGCGTTCTTACCGCACGCTCCACGTGTCGTTTACCCTCCCTCCCCCTCCCCTCCCCTCCCTCGCTCACCTGTAGGCGAGGCGGAGGACGAAGAGCTCGAGGATAGCGGCGTCGAGGAGGATGTCCTGGTCGGGTCTGGCGAGACTCGGGATGCCCGGGAGACGCGAGGCCCACGCGCGGCTCGCCTCCGCCGAGGTGGCGAGCAGCTCGTAGAAGACGCGCACGTGGTCAGCCTCGGCGGCCGGGCCCCCGGGGTCGTGCTCGCCCGCGGGGCTGTACTGCTCCCGGCACACGAACGGAGGACAAGCGTCCAGACGAGACGCGGATGCGCGAGATACATTCACGAGGCTTTGCAGATGCCGGTGGTGTATCGATGCAGATCGATGCGCGCGGTAGGCACGCTCCGACTCGCGCACGGATACGGACGCACGCGCGTGCGTAGGTGCACGTGGGAGATGAAGAGTGTCACATACGACATGTATACACACAGACACACACACATCACACACACAGACATACACAGGGACATGAACAGAGTCACATGCAACATGTATACACACAGACACACACATCACACACACAGACATACACAGGGAGATGAACAGAGTCACATGCAACATGTATACACACAGACACACACACATCACACACACAGACATACACGGGGAGATGAACAGAGTCACATGCAACATGTATACACACAGACACACACACATCACACAGAGACATACACAGGGACATGAAGAGAGTCACATACGACATGTATACACACAGACACATATACTTAAGCAGATACAAAAATACTCAACATACTCGTCAACAACACTGCTTTAAAAGAAATGCATATAACCTGCGACGTTTCGGTCAATAGACCTTTTTCGTGGCACAAAAACCATACAGATGATTACAAATATATACACACACCAACAAAGATCCCCCGTATAACTTTAACAGACTGTTAGGGCAAGTGATATTAGTGAGCACCTATGAAGGCCGGCTCAGCACGCGAGGGGGTGGGTGGCCAACACCACGCCCGGCCGCCTTTGTATCCCCAATGGCGATGTTTACACATCGCACCAGGTACTTATTTGAGTCTGAGCCGATCTAGGTGAGGCCCTAGGACTGGTACAATATAATCGTCACTGGTGTTGGTCGTGAGCGGGAATCGAACTCAGGTCGCCGGGTTCGTAGCGCAGCACGCTAACCGCTACACTACCGCTCCCCAGACATACACACGCACACACTCACATACAAAGCCAAGACAAAGATCTCTCCTATAGCCTTCAGAGACTGTTGGGGCAAGTGCTGTTAGCGAGCACCTATGAAGGCCGCAACGGTACACGAGGAGGTGGGTGACCAGCACCACGCTCGGCCGCCTTTGTCTTCCTCGTGGCGATGTTTACACAGCGTACCAGGTACTCATTTGAGGCTGATTCGACCTAGGTGTTGGCTCTGAGCGGGAATCGAACTCGGGCCGCCAGGTTCGTAGTGCAGCGCGCTAACCGCTACACTACCGCTCCCCACAACACTCGCATACACACACTCACGCACACTCAGATACACACACACACACATTGAGAGCGGCACGTGTCTCTATTGGGCAATGCTCCGGACTCCAGCCCAGGTCCGCTTGGTACTCGACGAAAGACATGGGTGCAAAGTCGCGGGAAACTGCACGAGGAGACCACTCGAGTTGATTTAGGAAGTCACAATTTCAAACTCAAATTAAAACTAATTTCCCTAAAACTGCTTTTGCCTTTCGTCTGTTTTCCTTCCCCCGGCATCTCCGACTAGCATGGTTGGCTACGTACGGTGCGACAGAAGTTCAACATATATACAGGAATACTCGGAAGGTAAGCCGAAGGTGGACAGAGGAGACGAAAGAAGGAGGGAGACGAAACGCCGCGGTTATTTGGAGAGGGGGAACGCGACAGTTGTATCCACGCCACTGTTTTATTTTCACTCATTTAGGCCAATCTATCCTTAGGCTGCCCGCGGCCACATATGAAGAATATTCATGAATCGGTTCGCCTCGCGTCTCCGAATGCGCCGCGTTCTATACAAATGCCCAATTCGAGGGCTCCGAGGATTGTACAATAACGGCAGCGGATGTGAGGACTTGCCGTCAGGGTCTAAATGCGGCCACATTTCAAGACGCTGCGCGGAACCAGTGGGAATGTTTACGGCAGGGCGAGATGCAGGCGATCAGTCGGAGAGCGAGGGGACAGAGGAAGATATTGAACCGAAAACTAAACTATTTGTTTTTTTTTCATTTTACTAGCCCACTGAGCTGTATAGCTCTTTTTTCAGAAGCGACCTGGCCGCAAATGGCAGCTCAACGAAGTGGCTTGTCACCGTGTGGACATTTAAAGCGGCAAAGTAAGCGAAAAGCGTGTTTCCAAATGTGGAGGGAAACACCGGAGGACCTGGAGCACAATCCACGCGACCACTGGGAGAACGTACAGGCGTCAGGATCGGGACCGAACGCCACGACTTTCTGTACACCAGAAGAGGCCGTGAACATCTTGCCGCCTTCACAGGGGCAAGGAGCCGACAGCACGGAGGGCAGGAAGGGGCGGGGGAGTTCCAGACTCTGAGCAGCAGAGGAGAAAGAGCGACCTCCCATTCAGATAAATGTTGAGCGCGGGGCTTTCGACGGAACTAATTGGGTGCCGTTAGCGAATATGACGCTGAGGAGGTGTAAATCGTTGCGACTCTCCGTCAAGATCGCCATCCTACCCGCCTCGTTCCCGGGATGATGGCAGACCAAAAATAATAGATTTTACTTAACGAGGGGGTCATCCACGTCCCGAAAACTAGTTCTGGTGAATGTTGTTGAGAAATGTAAGCTGGCTACATTCTGGCGAATTGCCCGATGATGCTGGATGTATTTACCAGCGAAACGTCGTACTCAAACTGTAAATGTTGTGGATTCACTCTTCAACACACCGGTGGGCTAAAGTAGTGAATTATTTGTCTTTTGTCAACGTGACACTTTTTTTTTGCTGATTGGCCGTGTCGGGTGGTGGAGGGTTACGACACATTTATAAATAACGCGATCTAACCCCAAAAACCTTTATTATGAATAATATTGGTCGCGAAAGCCTACGTGTTAAACTGGCTACAGAGACGGCGCTGACGATTGCTGGGTTTGGGGAGAGCGGATATCAACGGGGGCCGAGAGCAAACAGGTCGGTGAAGGAGAGAAGGGAAACGAGAATTGTCTAGGAAGGAGGTGGAGAGTCGGACGGGGGGGGGGGGGGAGGCATCATCACAAGAATCCTCTATTCACCACCACCAACGCCATAATTATCCAACCGCCTGAGTCCTCACCGTCATCACGTAGCCAAGTCACCGCCAGTGACGCCATTGCCATCGTCATCATGTAACTACCGTCAGGGTCATTATCATCGCGATCGAGTCCGCGGGAGCTGAGTGAGCGCCTTTGTCTTCCGCAATTATACGCGGCGAGCGTTTCGATCCCTTACGTCAGCCCCCCCCCCCCCCCCCCCCCCCCCCCCCCCAGAACGCGCTATCGTTGTGCGCTGCTGGCGGAACATTCGGTGCCTTCGAGAGTCCTTCGAAATGTCAGACGTCGGTCGCCTCCCACTCGACGTCCGTCTCTCACGAGCTCCATCTCGTCCTCCCCCCCCCCCCCCGAGAGTCCGAGCCAATCGTGGCGAACGTCACCTCGATGAAGCCTCTTAGTCGCGCAGCGCTGCGCTATGATTACACCCACAGTCAACTCGAGTTGAATTCCCGGCCACGGCTACGGCGGCGCTCAGTGGCGGCGAGTGATACAGGGACCGGCTCTGCCTCCACCCCCCAACCGCCCCTCCCCCGCATGGTCAGGATCTGTATTTATTCTGGAGGAATCCGATGAGCTATGAAAGTTATTTTTTCACAGATGTCCACCATGGTCGGCCTGACACCCCTCCGCCCCGACCCTTCCGTTCCGGCTCGGGGTAAAAGTTTGTAAACTTCGAGTGAACGCAAAATGTTCATTTGACTTTCAGGTGACCTTGCTGCGGCCCATAGTTTCAATCGTCAGTCCAGTGACGTCGCTAAATTGGCATTAATTTATGGCATATTAAATGTTTCTTTTTTATTTTCAAGTAATTATTGACGTTTTAAAAACCTCTTCCTCGGAGCCAGCGGCACATGGTCCTGGTGCGGGTTGGTGATTGGGCGGTTCGGGCCTTGTCGGGGAAGGTCGGGAGGCAGAACCCGACGAAGAGATCATCGCTCGCCCCACTGGGCGATAACCGTGGCGACAACAGCCCGAGGTGTGTCGGATATCTGCTTCGCCTACGACGCGTTTAGATTCTTCGGCGCTCGCGTGTTTTTGTTTGTTTCTAATCGCAAATACGTCGTCCAAATGTCAACCCTCGATAGGCGAGGGGCAGCGTCGCGGCGTCCGTCTCGGGCGCCTGGGGCCGCGTGCGCTGTCACCGCGGGGCTGCGCGTGGGCGGTGCGATGGTGTCACGTCGAGAGTTTGCCCGGCCGAAATCTTGCGAGTAGAGAGATACAAGCAACGCGATTTGTGGTGGTGGTGGTGGAGGTTGCGCGAGAGAACGAGCATGCACCGGTACCCGTTTGGCGGCGCTCGAGTGCTGGTGGTGGTGCTGCTGGTGGTGGTTGTGCTCGCTCACAACACTTGCCCCCAAAATTATGTTAGGGCTACACGGGGGATCTTTGTATTTGTGAAGCGGCGGTGGGGCAGCGGTCCGTGAATTGCGCGTTACGATCCCACCGACCTCGGTTCGATTCCAGGCCATGGGCGTGATCAGTTCGGCACGCCGTATTTGAACCATTTCCTGGGCCTTCTGCCTAGCTTGACTCGCCATTGACTGGAGAGACAAAGGCGGTCGGGCGTGGTTCTCGCAGCAGCAGGAACATGCGTCGCTGGTTCTAGCTCTCGCTACATCTCGAACCCGGAGACCCCAGTTCGAATCCTGTAAAATCAACATTCGCAACAAATATCTAAACGGGTCCTGGGCCTCCGCTAGGTGGACTCAGCCATCAAATGAGTACTTCGTGCGGTGTGCAAACATCAGCACTGGGTGAGTTAAAGGCTACCAGCCGTGGCGGATCACCCACCTCCTCGGGTGCGTGGCGGTCTTAATGATGTATGAGTGACTATACGAGGAACCGAGAATTTAGTGGCGGTTGGGGATATGAGGTCAAGGCCCCAATAAACGTGTGGAGTGATTGTAGGGAATAACAAAAGCAGCGTGATGGTTTGACGTGCAGTCGACCGCGCAGTCGTGGTAGCGGTGGACTAATACGCGGGCTGACTGCTTTGACTCGGGGTGGTTTCAGCGGCCGAAGAGGCCGAGCGGGATGACGCTCCGCGCGCGAGAGGGAGAGCACCACGCGTCGGCGTCTTGAACGGAATTCCAAGGTTGATATATACAAAAAATAACACACACACACACACAACGACTCAACGGCTCGCGACTGAGCACTCCGAGCGAGGCGCCGCGAGTCTTTAAGTAACGAGAGGTGTTTTAAAAGTTGTTAGAAAGTAAAGAAGAACGAGTCATAGCCGTTCTCGCTCGGCTCGACCCTCGTTACGTGATCGCTGTTGGGATCATCGTGATATAATCACTGACGCTGACTCCGTCACAACGGCATAGCCACCATCATCATTATCGTCATCGTCAATCATCTTACCACCATCATCATGTCATAACCACCACATTCATCATGATTTTCGTCAACTAACCATCGACGCCATCAATATCATTATAAATCATTATTTGCACCAACATCGTCATCTGACCACATCCATCGTCGTCACCATCATACCACCCAGATTACGTCAATCATCTACTCACCGACATCACCATCACGTCATAACTAAGGACATCATCAAGATCACCGTCATCAAGTTCACCATCATCACCAGCGTCGTTGTCGCCGCTCACCATGGAGTAGTCGAGGTGCGCGGCTGCCGGCCACGAGTCGTGGTGAGCCCTCGCCACGCCGCACAGCAGAGCGTTCCCTCCCGAGCCGTGCTGCTGTCCGTGCTGCTGCCCTTCCCCGGGGCTGCCCACTCTGCCGAGTGCCCGCCCTGCCCCCGCGCCCTTGGGCTTGGAGGGGAGGCGGCCTCGCCTGCCCTTAAGGCTGTCGGTGCGAACCACTGCGCGCGCGCACGGAAGAGAAATGCAGACTCCGCCTGAGCGCGAGCGGGCGACCATTGCACGCGGACCCGTGGATTGTTTCAGAATCACGGTGTGGGTGCTGGGCACGGGGCCGCCGCCGCCACCACCACCACCACCCAAACACAAACAAAAATAGCAACCTCAAAACGCCAAAGCGGGCAGCAACGAACAGGACCGCTAAAAGTTCCAATGAGTAAGAGCGAACACGTGTTTTCTTGAAGTGAGCAGAGATTCATATTCTTAGCTCTTTCGGTAAAGTCACGTTGAAGGGAAACAATAAAATAATAAAATATATATATAACAATATGTTTTATTATTTTATATATATAAACAATATATATTTTATTATTTTATTGTTTCCCTTCAACGTGACTTTACCGAAAGAGCTAAGAATATGAATTACTGCAGTCACGAAAGCTTTAAATCAAATTTGAGCAAAGATTATCGTCAGAACGTAGGGATACACAACGGCGTGCTGGCGGAAAGCAGATTAGAATTACAAATAATAATACAAATACATTAATAAGAGGAGGTGTTCGCCCATTCTGTCAGTTTAACGCCGAAAACAGGTGGGAAAAATCTTGAATAACAAACAAATGCAGGTGAATTGCCAAATCGATCCCGTAACGATGGAAAGATCCGATAAAGCGACACGGGTCTCGTCGACGCAGCGCAGACGTCGTCATGCGCGATGATTCCGTTTCAAATGTAAACTGGGAGGTGGACCCACGCGAGTGGAGAAACTCCGAAGGGTCCCGCCGAGGGAATGTTGTCTTCCACGTGACTACTCGTGGACGTATTGAGAGACGAACCGTGACAGCCACGAAGCGAATCGCGATGTGAGATGATCGGCGGTTGTGAAAGTGGAAATTTTACTCCACGCGTCGGTCGTTAAAACACAAAGCAATGCGAGGGAAACTTCACGAATCACATCGCCGACTTTGTTGACATGGGGCTAACCGCTCCGTATTCGCAAGTAAGCGGCAATCAGCGCATCAGTTTTGTTATTTGCGTTCGAAAATTGGCCACGCGTAACCGCGATTAACACGCGGCGCCGAGTGATGGTTACTACAAAGATCCCCCGTGTAGCCTTAATAGACTGCAGGGGCAAGTGCTGTTAGCGAGCACCTATGAAGGTCGTCACGGCACACGACGAGGTGGGTGGTCGGCACCACGCCCGACCGCCTTTGTCTCCCTAATGGCGATGTTTACACACCAGGTATTCATTTGAGACTGAGTCGACCTAGGGGAGGCCCAGCATCCGCACAGACAGTGATCGGGAATTGAACTCGAGTCGTAGCGCAGCGCACTAACCACTACACTACCGCTCCCCATAATGGTAACTACTGGCAAAACCACACAAAGACAAAGATCCCCCGTATAGCCTTAACAGACTGTAGGAGCAAGTGCTGTTAGCGAGCACCTATGAAGGCCGGAACGGTACACGAGGGGGTAGGTGGCCAGCACCACGCCCGACCGCTTTTGTCTCTCTAGTGGCGATGTTTACACACCTCACCAGGTACTCCTTTCAGGCTGAGTCAACCTAGGGGAGGCCCAGGACCGGTTCAAACAATCGTCACTGGCGTTGGCCGTGAGCGAGAATCGAACCCGGGTCGCCGAGTTCATAGCGCAGCGCGCTAACCGCTACACTACCGCAAACACACACAGACACACACAAATACACAGACACACACAAACGCACACAGACACAAATACACACAGACACACAAATACACAAACACAGACACACACAGACACACACAGACACAAATACACACACACAGATACACACAAATACACACAGACACACAAATACACAAACACAGACACACACAGACACAAATACACACACACAGACACACACAGACACACACAGACACAAATACACACACACAGACACACAGACACACACACAGACGCACACAAACACACACAGACACACACAGACACAAATACACACACACAGACACACACAAATACACAGACACACACAGACACACACAAACACACAGACACACACTGACACAAATACACACATGCACGCACGCGCGCGCGCGCTGCTTATCTTGAATCTCTACAGCCAGGTTTTGTGTCTCGCGCTCTCCGACACGAGGCAAACAATTCATTATTAGTGCAGAGGGAAAACGTTACGGCGAGGAGTGACGCCGCAGCGACGTGGCCGCGAGAGTGATAGTGCCACTGGTTGCATGTTCTTTTGTTGTTGTTGTTGTTGTTATTGTTGTTGTTATTGTTGTTGTTATTGTTGTTGTTATTGTTGTTGTTATTGTTGTTATTGTTGTTGCAACGAACGAACTTTGTCACTCGCAGGACACAAGTCCAGGGGGTGTGTAACGACGACGATGAGGGAGCTCATTGATTATTTTGCGCTGCGGTTATATTCCCAGCAACACCTGGCCGATCTCGTTGGTTCATTTACAAAAAAAGTTATCCGAACTCAACTTAAACCCCGTTGAAGCGGGGGGGGGGGGTGGGGGGGGGCAGCGTCGCTGCGTCCGCCTCGCGTGGACCTGCACGGCGCAAGGGGAACGCGGCGCGCTGCTGTCACGAGCCGGTTAGGGGCGCGTACAGCTGAAGGCACGCACGCCTTATATACGTGAGTAACACGCGTTACATCCGTGAGTAACACGCATTACATCCGTGAGTAACACGCGTTACATCCGTGAGTAACACGCGTTACATCCGTGAGTAACACGCGTTACATCCGTGAGTAACACGCGTTACATCCGTGAGTAACACGCGTTACATCCGTGGGTAACACGCGTTACATCCGTGAGTAACACGCGTTATATACGTGAGTAACACGCCTTATATACGTGAGTAACACGCGTTACATCCGTGAGTAACACGCGTTACATCCGTGGGTAACACGCGTTACATCCGTGGGTAACACGCGTTATATACGTGAGTAACACGCGTTACATCCGTGAGTAACACGCGTTACATCCGTGAGTAACACGCGTTACATCCGTGAGTAACACGCGTTACATCCGGGAGTAACACGCGTTACATCCGTGAGTAACACACGTTACATCCGGGAGTAACACGCGTTACATCCGGGAGTAACACGCGCTACATCCGTGGGTAACACGCGTTACATCCGTGAGGAACACGCGTTATATACGTGAGTAACACGCGTTACATCCGTGAGTAACACACGTTATATCCGTGAGTAACACGCGCTACATCCGTGAGTAACACACGTTACATCCGTGAGTAACACGCGCTACATCCGTGGGTAACACGCGTTACATCCGTGGGTAACACGCGTTATATACGTGAGTAACACGCGTTACATCCGTGAGTAACACGCGTTACATCCGTGAGTAACACGCGTTACATCCGTGAGTAACACGCGTTACATCCGGGAGTAACACGCGTTACATCCGTGGGTAACACGCGTTACATCCGTGAGGAACACGCGTTATATACGTGAGTAACACGCGTTACATCCGTGAGTAACACACGTTACATCCGTGAGTAACACGCGCTACATCCGTGAGTAACACACGTTACATCCGTGAGTAACACGCGCTACATCCGTGGGTAACACGCGTTACATCCGTGGGTAACACGCGTTACATCCGTGAGTAACACACGTTGTATCCGGGAGTATCACGCGCTACATCCGTGAGTAACACGCGTTACATCCGGGAGTAACACACGTTACATCCGGGAGTAACACGCGTTACATCCGTGAGTAACACGCGTTACATCCGTGAGTAACACGCGTTACATGCGTGAGTAACACGCGTTACATCCGTGAGTAACACGCGTTACATCCGTGAGTAACACGCGTTACATCCGTGAGTAACACGCGTTACATCCGTGAGTAACACGCGTTACATCCGGGAGTAACACGCGTTACATCCGCCCGCGAACACGAGACGTTTCGTTTTCGCGTGAACACCGCCAGCCACTGTGCGAATGCGTGTGGCTTGGAGTCGGCGCCGTGTTGGAGATATTTAACGCGGCGTAGACGACGCCTGTTCACGTGAGGAGCGAACTCCGTGCGTCCTAAGCCCCCCTTCCCCCCTCCTGTGCTACCGCGTGCCCAAACACGTGCAGGCAATACTCGTGTTTCCAGCCGCTCGTGCCCCCCAAATGTCCGTGCGGAGGGATGTTCGTGTGCTCCGCGTGGCTCCCGCGTGCCCCCCCCCCCCCACATACGCGCCTAGAGCCCGTGGCACCCCCGCTCCCCCTCGTGCCCCCCAAACACACGCGCCTAGAGCCCGTGGCACCCCCGCTCCCCCCGTGCCCCCCCCCACACACACGCGCCTAGAGCCCGTGGCACCCCCGCTCACCCCCGTGCCCCACGCACCTTCTCGGATCATGCCCACGCTGAGGCACTTCTGGAAGCGGCAGAACTGGCAGCGGTTGCGCCTCCGTTTGTCGACGGGGCAGCTCCGGCTGGCGAGGCACACGTACTTGGCGTTCTTCTGCACCGTGCGCTGCGCGACACGGGACGCGGGACACGACACGGGACAACGACGCGAGTTGAGCGGTGCGCAATAAGCTGATGCAAGGGAGGAGCGGTGGCGCAATGGTTAGCGCAACTCTCATGTGTGCGATTTCCTGGCCACGGCTTCATACATCGGTGGCGATTGATGTTCGAACCGGTCCAGCCCGTCCGCCCCTCCACCACCCTCCCCCCAGCCTTCCGTGACCCCAACCCGCGCTGAGGCTAGCGGTGGTGAAGCATGGGCAGGCAAATCCCATGGACGCCTTCGTGGCGCGGGGATGATTTAATCCAGCAGTGGATTGATACAACGGCCGTCGAATTATGATAGTGATATTATGAGTGATATGTGTTGATGTGCATCGGTGAAGCGACACCAGAAACCGTCTTGCGGCTGCCTTTGCTCATGCACATCCAAATCTGCTTGTGTCTTGTTGTTGAATCAATAGAAATATGAAACTTGTCACAAACGTGGCCCAGTCTAAGTTCATAATGAAAAAAAAGAACAGTTTTTCTTTTAATATGTTTTCCCTAATGATAGTTCCACCATGAATCAGGCCTCGGCGGTTCACCGCTTCTTCTCGGAGGCCGCGGTTAGCGTCGCCTCGTTTCGCGTCGCTTTACCTCTCGTGCTCGACACGAGACAATGAGCGATCTCCAGCACCAATGAACCTGGCAATTCGCCTGCCGGTATACAATTCGGCGCGGCTGTTTACTGGTTCCGTGTGCATATATATACGTATACGTGAGGCTGACTTACAGACGCGACCACGCGAGGGGCTGATGTGGTCAGAAGCGCGCGCGGACGTCTTTGTCTCCCCCATTGCTCGCACTGTGGTACTCGGAGTTTACGGGACGTCGGGTTACTTTCAGATTGCGCTTTCGAAGATGCCACTCTGGGTGCGCGTCGTGCCTAGCAATCGAACCCCGGTTATCGGGATCGTAGCGCAGCGGGCCAACAGCTGTGACACCAACAAATGCACACAGCTAAGACAAAGATCTCTCAGACTGTTGGGGAAAGCGCTGTGGGCGAGGGGGTGGGTGGCCAACACCACTCACCCGGCCGCCTCTGTCTCTCCAGGTACTCATTTAAGGCTGGGTCGACCGCTGGCATCAATCCCACACACACGCACACACTCGGGGGAGTACGGGGGTGATTTTGTGATAAATCCTGCTCGAAGTTATCAAGTGAGGGCACGCGAACGTAACTCGCAAGTGTAATTAACCCTCTGTGGATCGCATTCAATCGAATTGTTTACGCTTTAGCGGCCACTGGCTTGTTCGCTAAGTAGGCTGTAAGAGAAACAATGCGATTGTTATGTTTATGTCAGAGAAAACGAAAAACAACGTTTCTTGCGACTCCTCTGTACCAGGACAAACCATTCTGTCTAAATGAATGTACGAGGTCTGTGGCAGCGTGTTGTACACTACCCCAGACTCCTGAGTTCAATACCCGGCCTCGAATCACAAGTGACCTGGGTCTTCTCTCCTAAGTCTAGACTTGGAACGTACACCACTGTGTAGTGTGTGGTCATCAGCACAGGAGAGACAAAGGCGGCCGGGCGTGGTGCTCACCACACCATGCTCTTGTGTGCCTTACTTCGTGTCCGCTTACACAACTTGACCCAGCAGTCCCCTAAGATTAATGCAACGACAGTTTGGATTTATGTAGGGTCCAAAGGCGCCTGAAAATCGCAAGACGCTGTTCAGATAAACGTGGAATATCTGAATCGGTCCCGGGCCTCCCCTAGGTTGACTCAGCCTGAAATTAGTATTTGGCTCGGTGTGTAAATATTACTACTGGGGAGACAAAGGCGGTTGGGCGTGATATTGGCCACACAACACCCACGTGTACCGTCCCGGGCTTAATAGGTGCTCGCTTACAGCACTTTCGCCTACAATCTGTTCAGGCTATACGGGAAGCTTTGTCTGTATTTTGAATGTGCGTATTCGTGATCTTGCGTGTTGCGTTCATGCGTTTAATGTGTGTTAGTGAGCACCTATGAAGGATCGAAAGGTACACGAGAGGGTGAGTGGCCAGCACCACACCCGACCGCCTTTGTTTCAACAGTAAGAATGTTTACACACAGCACAAGGTACCCATTTAAGGCCGAGTCCACCTAGGGGAGGCCCACGACCGGTTCAGATATTCGTCGCTGGTGTTGACCGCGAGCGAGAATCGAACTCGGGTGTCCGGCTCCGTAGCGCAGAGCGCGCAAACCGCTCCCCTTGCCCTAAAAAAAAAAAACCTCAGCAAATTCTATCAGGGGGGATCTTTGTCTTTGTGCTGCGCGCGCTTCCTGCACGCGACCACCACCACCACCACCACCCCACCCCCTGCGCCGCCGCCCACGCGCTCACCTTGAAGAAGCCCTTGCACCCCTCACACGTGCGCACCCCGTAGTGCTGGCACGCCGCGTTATCCCCGCACACGGCGCACATTCCCTCGCTGGGCGGCGGAGACGTGGGCGTCGGGAAGCGCCGCGCGGCGAAGCGGCCCGGCGAGTCGACGTCTTCGTAGCGCTGAGACATCAGCTGCTGCTGCTGCTGCTGATGTTGGTGCTGCTGCTGCTGCTGCGAAGCTTGTGATTGTGGCCCCAGACCCCGCGGGTAGTCGGTGGGAGACGGAGCGAGCGGCATCCCACCCACCCCGTGGACCCCACCTCTGCCCATGCCCGAGTCCGAACGCTGCGCTCTGCTCGTCATGGCGAGGTCGAAGTTGTCGCCGCCGGACATGACGGCGGGCAGGGGACCACCCGCGAACGACATCGCCATCTCCCTGCCGACGCCCACGTCGCTCGTGCCCTCCGCGTACCCTGCGTGAGCCGCTCTCGCCCCGGCCCGCGACGCATCCCCGCCCGGGGACCCCCGGCTGAGCCGCTGCTGCTGCTGCTGCTGGGAGTTGAGGGAGTCGGAGAAGGTCGAGTAACCGGGACCGGGCGAGGAGGACGAGGCGACCTGAAGACCGCGGTGCGCGTCCGGGTCACCCGGGACCGCGAACCCTGGCTGTAGGGGTTCTGCCGAGGGGAACCCGGCACGGGGCTCGCCCGCCGGAGCTCGGTGGAAGCAGCCGACGTAGCTGGAGAAGCGGGGACCTCCATCCGCGCTCGGCGGCGCGTCCCGCCCGGGCAGGTAGAACTTGTAGGGCACAGGGGACGAGGAGGATGGAGGCTGCAAGGATTTGTACTTGGAAGCGGGCAGCGCCTTCACGCCGAGCTCCGTGAGGCTGGTGATGGTGTAGTCTCTCGGGAAGGGCAGCGCGCCCAGGGCTGCCCCCACATCCCATGTTCTCTGCAGCAGCTGCGGATGCTGCTGCTGCTCCTGTTGCATGTCGGTGTAAGCGGCCGGCGGGGTGTGCGGCGGAGACGCTTTGAAGTATTCCCGCGCCCCAGCGGCTCCGTTGAGCTGCTGCTGCTGATGCTCCTGGTGCTGCTGCTGCTGTTGCTGCTGGTGGTGCTCGTGACTCGGGTGTGGGTACGCTGCGCCGTGCAGCAGGCAGGACATCATGGGCTGCACCTCTGCCTTCACGGGTGCGGGCTGCCGCTGGTCTGTATTCTCTTCGTCCTGTTGCGCGTTCTGGTACTCATGCTGCTGCTGCTGGTGGTGCTGGTGATGATGATTCTGGTGCTGGTGATGGTGGTGGAACGCGCATGAGTCGGAGGGCTTTCCCCCGTAGCCCGGGTCGGCGTTCGCGAGTTCCATGTTAAAGCGCACAAACTCTGGGGTGCCGAGACGGGGGCTCAGGTCCAACGGCTGCAACTCGAGAGCCTGGCCTTGTGCGTGCACGCAGGCTTGATAGGACAAGGACGATGACGATGATGATGAGGAGGATGATGATGATGAAGAGGATGAGGCCGCGCGGCGCTCTGGAACCTGCATGAGACGCGAGGAGGAGAGCGCACTTTGCATCAGGTGCAGCTCAGGGCATGCAGCGCTCATGGTTGGGAAAGGGGGTCCAGGTCCCCCTTCGTCCCCCTCGAGTCCGCGTCCTCTCGTCCCGAGACACACCCCTGCGATGTCTTCCGTTGGAGCTGGCAGCTGGGGCTCGTCGTGTGTGGGGGGGGGGGGGTGCGAGGGAGCTGCACGGGCTCAGAGTAGAGCAGGGAGACACGAGGCTGGGAAGACAAAGGCGGACGCCGCGGTTACTCCACCACGCTGAACTCTTTTACTTGAATATGTCCACGCGATTTTGCGTGCGTTTTACATCGGCCGTCGAACTCGAAATTATTCTAGGGAGCGTGATTCTGTCAGCCTGTAATTCGAAATGTTTCGTAAAAATGTTTCGTCACCTTCGTCGTTGCAGACAATATGATGATAACACCAATAATAAGGCGAACGATTATAATAACGTTACACCCCTTTGTCCACTCGCATCTGGACCAAGGCGTCCTCAGGACCGGCACACAGTCGACACTGGGATCCGTTCGTCAACTCGGCTCTTCGTTACTGGGATCCACACGAGCAGGCGCCCGCATCGAGAGCTGCTACGCTGCTCCTGATCAGCCCGTGTGCTCGCCTCAGCGGCTGGACCGCGCTCGAACACAACGGCAGATGCGCGCACACGTTCCATAAATTGCAGATCAAAGAATCGCCCAACTGCGACTGTGGAGAAGTCCATTCCATCAAGCACATCACCGACGAATGCCCCATCCACGCACACCCCGGCGGTGTCTGTGAAATCCACACTACGTCAACCACCTCCTTGGCCTGGATGAGGAATCTTTGCATTCATTTATGACGATGATTAATAAGAAAATAAAAACTGTTGCTTTTCACCAATGCCATGCGAAGGAAGACGAAGCGGCTCGTGTGTACAACGCGCCCTGCGACCATTTCCCTCGATGCTCATCTTTTATCATCATATTATTATGATTATGATCACGACTACAACCTATACTGTAGTATCACATCAACCGTTGCCGTTAACAAACAAACAAACAACAAAATCCATCTCATCTCCATCGAGTCCCATAATTCACTCGCCCGTGCCTCTCTCTCGCGGGCAGCATTTAACGCACCGTGGGCACGGCGACACGGCACGGTGCCGTCTCTCGTCTCGCGGCACGGAGACCGCGCGAGCTTCCACTCGTGGGCGAGAGAGTGCGGGAGTCTCCGGAGACGTCATTGGAGGCACCGGTCTCACGCCGGCCTTCACGCGTCGCACGCCGGCGAGCGCCGTGCCTGTCTCGCCTCTGTCGGGGTTTTTTTTTTCAGAACCAAACTTCGGTTGTTTCTCGTTGGCGTGCGTGCGTGTGGGGGGGGGGGGGGGGGGGGGGGTGAGCGGTGGTGCAGCGGTTAGCGCGCTGCGCTATAAAACCCGGCCACCCGAGTTCGATTCCCGTTGGCGAATATCTCAGGCCTCCCCTCGGTCGACTCAGCCTCAATTGAGTACCTGGTGCGGTGTGTAAACATCGCCACTCGCGAGACAAAGGCGGACCGCGCGTGGTGCTGACCACCCACCCCCTCGTGCGCTTTGGCGGCTTGCATAGGTGCTTGCTAACAGCACTCGCCCCAACAGTCTGTTAAGGCTACCGGGGGGTCTTTGTGTGCGTGTGTTTGTGCGGTGTGCGTGCGTGCATTGTCCGGCAAATTTGCTCCTATTCACGGTTACAGATAACAATCAGTGGCAAGTGTGATCTGATCCTGAGCCCCCCCCCCCCCCCAAGTCGACTCAACCTTCAATGAGAACCAACTTAGTTGCGGCGCGTAAATATCAGCACGGGGTGGGGTGGAGGTGAGTTTCTTTCGGCACCTCCGATTAGCACGGTCGGCTACGTACGGTGCGTAAGAAGTCCAACATGACATCTCTGTTTAGTCCTGATCGACAGTAATAGGTGCTCGCAAACAGCACTTGCCGTGGCAGTCGCGGAGAGAGAGGTACATTTGAGAAATATACGTCTGTCATTTCTGGTATTCTCTCTGAGACTCGATATCACTCATTAAAGTAAATGCGATTATCGTGTAATAATATAAGCAACACTCCGTTACATAACAAACGACTCTCGTCGAGCCCCAGCTATTCCTCCGATCTGTATAATGTAACCATGTTTCATTTGCGATCTGTCATCACGCTTCTCGATACGAAAGTTTGAAAGGAAACAGAGAAACGCGTCTATATACAAACACAGACAAAAGATCACTCGCAAAGCCCGAACAGACGGTTGGGGCAAGTGCTGTTCGCGAGCACCTATGAAAGCCGGCACGGCATACGAAAGGGTGGGTAGCCAACACCACGCCCGGCCGCCTTTGTCTCCCCAGTGGCGATGTTTACAGACCGCACCAGGTACTCATTTCAGGCTGAGTCGACCTAGGGTAGGCCCATGACCGGTTCAGATAATCGTCACTGGGTGTTGGCTGTGATCGGGAATCGAACTCGGGTCGCCAAGTTCAAAGCGCAGCGCGCTAACCGCTACACTACCGCTCCCCAAAGACAAACACACATACGCACATACAAAAACACAGACATACGCACACAGGTTATAATCCCGCGCTCGTCCTCAGGACAATCGACACGCACCTGTAAGTGGAACTCCACACTCGCTGGATGTTGATAATAAGGCCCCTATCTCTTACTCCCCCTTCACGCCGATCTCCTTCACGGGACGCTCTGACTCGGCAGGGGCTCTAACCCCACGTGCTCGCCGCCGGGCCGGAGCGTCTCAACAGCAGCAGCGCGCACGAGGAGGCTCGATAAATAGCGCCGCGCGGAGTGCGTGACAACCTCCAGAGGAGGTCCCGTCACGCATCTGGGCCACCCTCCTCCCTCCCCTTCCACTACCCTCCCTCCCTCCCCCTTCACACACGCAATCCAGCAGAATAAAGGAGCACCCCCCCCCCATCGCTCCCCGCCCCGCGCGCCTGCACCGCCCACTCGCGACCCATTCATTCGGCGCACGCCCACACACTTCGTGTGCGCACGACGCGCGCGCGTCACAGGGCCGAGCTAAGCGCGCGCGCGCGTGCGTGCGGGGAGGAAGGGGGCGCGTTTGGGCTCGCGGCGCCGCAGCAATTGAAGCGAGGGAGGTGGGAGGCCTCCTGCCTGGGCGGGTGCCGTGCGACTCGAGGGTTGCGACGGGGCGGTCGCAACCCCCCCCAAACCCCCCCCCCCCGCCGTGTTCGCGCTCTACCCCGGCTCTCTCTCTCTCGTGCGGCTCCCGTGCGATTCGCATGCGGAGCCTTGAGCGATCTTCGTACGAACAACCGGATTTTCCTGCACGCGGCTCCTCTCCACTCCCAAAAGCCGCTTTGAACTCAAAACTCCAAGCTATCAATTTCCCGCCCAGGATTGGAATCCGCGGTCTCTGTCCGGGCGCCCACGCAACGAGCCGCTCGTTCACACGGCCGAGGGCGCGGAGTAAACCGCGTTCCGAGTGTCGAGGGTTTTTTTCATTTTCCCCACGTCAGCTGCGTGCGATCCTTCTCTTGACTTCGGCTGCAGAGAGAGAGAGAGTGAGCGAGTGGTGGTCTTCACGACCAACGTTCGCTAATTCCAGCTGATCTTGCGCGCTGCCGGCACGGTCAGGACTTCGGGAGACCTTGGCCCTGTCACTGAACACAGGAGTATTTAAAAAAAAAGCCGAGTCTGTGAGAATAAAAAAAAATAAAAACAGCAGCAGCATCAACAACAACTGAACACACCTCATGCGAGCCACGCCCGCGGTTTTCTCTAGCGAGAGACTTCCATGTTGATATTAACGAGGCAATGGGGTCACGGTCACGTCTGAGCGACGTTACGATGTTCCTGCCCTGCCACTGGACACAGCCGGCATCCCAAAGCATTCATCCGCACGTGGCTCATCCACGTAAAATCAGCACCCCCCCCCTCCACCCAATCCAAATCCCCCCCTCCCCACACCACCTCCCTGCACCCCCCACCAGCCCGCCGCTGTTATCACTTCACTCGTGCGTCCTTTCAGATGGAGGCGCCAAACGCTCGCCCTCCTCGGCCGGCGATGGGAGCGCCTAGAGGTCATCGCTTTAAGCGAGGGCCTTTAATGACCGCGCGCGCGTGTTTGGACGGACCACTGTCACCGAAGGCGCAGTGCGGAATGTTCGCAACGGCTTCGGCTTCAGGCCGTAAGAGTTTTCCAAGTCACCATCGTCGAGTCGATCACGGACGCCCTGACGAGATTCGTCACCGGCACCGTCATGATAATGGCGAGGCACCATCGCAGTCGACATCTTCTTCATCGACAGAAGAGCAGCAGCATTAGAATAGAAGCACTGTCGACAGCGACTGTATCTGCACCGTAGACAGTCCCGTTGCCATCACCAGCACCGCCAACATCACCTTCATCGTCGTCGTCATCACCATCATCACTAACATTACGACCAGAATGTTCCTCACCACCATCAGCACAATCATCGATATCAGCGCCACCATCATTACTATCACCAACATCATCGTCGTCATCACCGTCATCATTCAGCAAATGGGGCAGACGTCTCTCGCCCCTCGCTGCGTCGGGCCCCATTCGGATGAGTGACAATCGCTCTGGCGACAGAGGCGAGGCCCACAACGTAAGTCACGGAATCCTCTAACAGACTCACATTCCCCCGATTCATCATGGCCCCTCCTCCCCCCGCCCTCCTCACCGCCACACACCCCCGCCCATACGCACACAGACGACCCTCATCCACCTCCTGTCTCCCGAAGCGCAAACAGAGGTGTGGCGGGAGGCTGGGTATTGGGAGGGGAGTGCTGGGTGTTGGGGAGGGGAGTGCTGGGTGTTGGGAGGGGAGTGCTGGGTGTTGGGGTGGAGGTGCTGGGTGTTGGAGGGGAGTGCTGGGTGTTGGGGTGGAGGTGCTGGGTGTTGGAGGGGAGTGCTGGGTGTTGGAGGGGAGTGCTGGGTGTTGGAGGGGAGTGCTGGGTGTTGGGGTGGGAAGTGCTGGGTGTTGGGAGGGGAGTGCTGAAGAGGGGAGTGCTGAGTGCCGGGTGCTGGGATGAGAGCGCTAAGAGAGGAGTGGTAGGTTGTGGGATGAATGGAGTGCTGGGTGTTGGGGTGGGAGTGCTGGGTGCTGGGAAGGTGAGTGCTGGGTGTTGGGGTGGGAGTGCTGGGTGTTGGAGGGGAGTGCTGGGTGTTGGAGGGGAGTGCTGGGTGCTGGGAAGGTGAGTGATGGGTGTTGGGGTGGAGGTGCTGGGTGTTGGGGTGGAGGTGCTGGGTGTTGGAGGGGAGTGCTGGGTGCTGGGAAGGTGAGTGCTGGGTGTTGGGGTGGAGGTGTTGGGTGTTGGGGTGGAGGTGCTGGGTGTTGGAGGTGAGTGCTGGGTGTTGGAGGGGAATGCTGGGTGTTGGGGTGGAGGTGCTGGGTGTTGGGGTGGAGGTGCTGGGTGTTGGAGGGGAGTGCTGGGTGTTGGATGGGAGTGCTGGGTGTTGGGGTGGAGGTGCTGGGTGTTGGAGGTGAGTGCTGGGTGTTGGAGGGGAATGCTGGGTGTTGGGGTGGAGGTGCTGGGTGTTGGGGTGGAGGTGCTGGGTGTTGGGGTGGAGGTGCTGGGTGTTGGGGTGGAGGTGCTGGGTGTTGGAGGGGATTGCTGGGTGTTGGGGTGGAGGTGCTGGGTGTTGGGGTGGAGGTGCTGGGTGTTGGAGGGGAATGCTGGGTGTTGGGGTGGAGGTGCTGGGTGTTGGGGTGGAGGTGCTGGGTGTTGGGGTGGAGGTGCTGGGTGTTGGAGGGGAGTGCTGGGTGTTGGAGGGGAATGCTGGGTGTTGGGGTGGAGGTGCTGGGTGTTGGGGTGGAGGTGCTGGGTGTTGGAGGGGAATGCTGGGTGTTGGGGTGGAGGTGCTGGGTGTTGGGGTGGAGGTGCTGGGTGTTGGAGGGGAGTGCTGGGTGTTGGGGTGGAGGTGCTGGGTGTTGGGGTGGAGGTGCTGGGTGTTGGGGTGGAGGTGCTGGGTGTTGGAGGGGAGTGCTGGGTGTTGGAGGGGAGTGCTGGGTGTTGGGGTGGAGGTGCTGGGTGTTGGGGTGGAGGTGCTGGGTGTTGGGGTGGAGGTGCTGGGTGTTGGAGGGGAATGCTGGGTGTTGGGGTGGAGGTGCTGGGTGTTGGGGTGGAGGTGCTGGGTGTTGGAGGGGAATGCTGGGGGTTGGGGTGGAGGTGCTGGGTGTTGGGGTGGAGGTGCTGGGTGTTGGGGTGGAGGTGCTGGGTGTTGGAGGGGAGTGCTGGGTGTTGGAGGGGAATGCTGGGTGTTGGGGGGGAGGTGCGGGGTGTTGGGGTGGAGGTGCTGGGTGTTGGGGTGGAGGTGCTGGGTGTTGGAGGGGAGTGCTGGGTGTTGGGGTGGAGGTGCTGGGTGTTGGGGTGGAGGTGCTGGGTGTTGGGGTGGAGGTGCTGGGTGTTGGAGGGGAGTGCTGGGTCTTGGAGGGGAGTGCTGGGTGTTGGGGGTGGGAGTGCTGGGTGTTGGGGTGGGAGTGCTGGGTATTGGGGTGGAGGTGCTGGGTGTTGGGGTGGAGGTGCTGGGTGTTGGAGGGGAGTGCTGGGTGTTGGAGGTGGGAGTGCTGGGTGTTGGGGTGGGAGTGCTGGGTGTTGGGGTGGAGGTGCTGGGTGTTGGAGGGGAGTGCTGGGAATGTGAGTGCTGGGTGTTGGGGTGGAGGTGCTGGGTGTTGGGGTGGAGGTGCTGGGTGTTGGGGTGGAGGTGCTGGGTGTTGGGGTGGAGGTGCTGGGTGTTGGGGTGGAGGTGCTGGGTGTTGGGATGGGAGTGCTGGGTGTTGGGATGGGAGTGCTGGGTGTTGGGGTGGAGGTGCTGGGTGTTGGGGTGGAGGTGCTGGGTGTTGGGGTGGAGGTGCTGGGTGTTGGGGTGGAGGTGCTGGGTGTTGGGGTGGAGGTGCTAGGTGTTGGGGTGGAGGTGCTGGGTGTTGGGGTGGAGGTGCTGGGTGTTGGGAGGGGAGTGCTGGGTGTTGGAGGGGAGTGCTGGGTGTTGGGAGTGAATGCTGAGTGTTGGGGTGGAGGTGCTGGGTGTTGGGATGGGAGTGCTGGGTGTTGGGGTGGAGGTGCTGGGTGTTGGGGTGGAGGTGCTGGGTGTTGGGGTGGAGGTGCTGGGTGTTGGAGTGGAGGTGCTGGGTGTTGGGGTGGAGGTGCTGGGTGTTGGGGTGGAGGTGCTGGGTGTTGGGATGGGAGTGCTGGGTTGTGGGATGAAGGAGGAGAGTGCAGGGCACTCGTGGGGAGTTCCTCTCGGGATGCCCCCTCCCCCCATTCCCCCACGCCACTGACCCCCCCCCCCCTCCACCACCCACCAGGCGCTCGTTAAGCGCGGATTTAAAGCGTGAGAATTGAATGCATGAACAGATGGGCTGGCGGCCGCGCGCATACATACATACATAGATGAATAAATTAGTGGATTGAATCAAATATCTCATTAATAGATTTACAATTACAGGGTTTCGGTTATATAACAAACGCGCTGCTGCTGATACAACACACACACACGCCTACACACATTGCGATTCTCGGCCCCATTTCTAACAGTGAAGCGTCCTTGCCTATAACCATCCTGTTCGTTCACCTGCATTGTTGCAAGCAAGCAGCCTGGCCCTGCCGATGAAACAACAAATGACGAAACCGGTCCCAGAATTTTGCTTGCGCTGAATCAATGCTGCTGAAATGATGGACTCCCAGTACCGCTGATGGGATGTGTGAAACGTAATTGGATTTGTTTCCATGGAAGCACAGCTATGCGAAGGAGACGAACGGTCTGATTGCGTGTCGTAGGTGCACTGGAGGTGTAAGG